CTCTCTTTTATCTTTCTGTGATTCATAAAAATAAAAAAAAATATATATATAAAAAATAAAAATTAATTATAAAATAAAATAATAAAATATTAATAATAAAAATAAAATAAATGTAAAAATAAAACGAACTGAAATAAAATAAAATCTTTCTTTAATCTTTCTGTGATTCATCAAAGCATTCGGCACATGAAGCACTTACGGTGGACTCCTCCATGAACTGGGCCAGACGCTGTCTCATGTCCTGAATGGAGCTCAGAGAGAGACTATAGGAGTCCAAAGGAGCCAAATGTTTCTCGCTTTCCACATAAAACCACCTCTTAACCTGAGGACAGATACAGAAAAAACACAATCAGCACATTGTCTTTCCAATAATCAAATATTTAAATAGAACAGTAACAATCAAGTTACAGAAGTACAAATCATTCCTTTATTCCACAGACAAGCTGATTTTTAATGAACATATGAAAACATACCCTAGTATGCTGCCCTATTAATAGTTCATTTGAGATGTTGTATAAAAACACAAACCCCTGAGTGATTTAAATTGCATAATCCACAATGCCTTATTTTTTCAGATATGCCTGTGGAGAAAATGAATGGGAAAAATCCCGTCTCTGACCTCCTGGTGTCTCTCCTGTAAGGCGCGCAGCTCCAGGAGCGTCTCCAGCTGCTGCAGTGATTTATTCGACAGAATGACGAGTTTATGGACCTCTTCATCCACCTGGTTATACAGTGCACTGACCAGATCCACAGCGTCCCTACACCAGACACAACATCAGCTTCAACTACAGTTCCAGTCAAACACCACAGGGACAGCTCTATAACATCAGGGTTTTTAAACATCATTTGGCAAAAAAAACAAAAATTTTTTGTGCCCTCTTATTTTATTCATGCAGCAAAAGTTAAAACTTTCTCAAGGTTGCATGATGAAGCGTCACTTTTTTTTTCTTCTATGTTCATATACTGTACCATTCCTATTGAAATTAATGTACATTTAATTTTGTATTGTTTTCCCATTAAATCATGTAAAAATCCTCAAAATGAAATAAAAAATAAAATAAAAAATTATATTAAAATAATTTATAATAAATACAAATTATAAATGAATATATATTAATTTATATTTATTTTTTATTTATAATAAAATAAAATAAAAATTCAAAATAATAAATTTCCTGAGACTTTCTTGTGTACAATAATACTTGTTTTCAGAGAATCTATTATAAATGAAATGTATTTGTCTTAAATTCATACTTATAACAATAAAATAATGTGCCAATGGTGTAATAAAAATCATCTTTAATAGCATTTAAGATAATTTTGTTTAAATGTATATTGTTTTAAGGCTGTTTGGATATTTTTACTTGAAAACAAGACAATACAACAATTTTTTTTGTTGCAGTGTTTAAGTGTCATTGAATTAAAGTGGATTTATGACATGCATGACAGAATAATATCCGACAGTGATTGACAGGAGTGTTTTGATGACATGCATGCATATATGCAAAACAAAAAAACAAAGAAATAAATGAGAAATTAAAAAATATAAATTATGCATTTATTGACTAGCAAAATTGCTTAAAATAAGTCTTAAATGAAGTGTATTTGTCTCAGATGTATACAAGAAAAAACAATATGCCAGTGAGGTACTAAAAATGAAAATATGAAAAATGATTTTGCTTAAATGTATATTGTTTTATGGGTGTCTGAATATTTTCACCTGAAAAGTTTTTTTTTTTTGTTTTTTGTATTGTTTAAGTGCCATTTAGGTTGAATTAAAGCGGATGGATGACGTGTTCACAACATAAATAAACCCGACAGTGATTGACAGGAGTGTTTTGATGGCGTGTGTGCATGTATTTACTCATGTAATTATTAATACAGGGCTGGGAGTAAATAAACTAACGTCAGCGTTACGCAGCTTTTTAAGAGGAATCTAGACAGGCCAGTATACTATTATAAAGCTTTTCTACTCAATGTTAGGATCTATCAGTCCTCTGATGAAGGCAGTACCTGTAGTTCTCGTTTTCACACATCTCCTCTTTCCTGATGCGGGCCAGAAAGGTGCCGCCCTCCAGCCGCAGGCGGTTGAGTTTGGTGTCGTCCAGAACGCTCTTCATGAGACTCTTCTGCTGGCTGATGACCTCTGACACCTCCTACAGACGATCAATATTCAAATCAGCCTGTGTGAAGCTCCGCCCCTCCGCTGAACTTGCATTGAGTTACATTTAAAAAAACATTACAAAGTAACAAAAGCAGAAGGCAACAGTTGCTAAGCTTGGATTGGTCAGTAACATTTTTAAGGCGGGGCTTAGCAAAGGAAACGCCAGTAAACAAGGCAATTTAAATCATTTTTTAATTGTGCTGCAGAGAATGACCATAAAATCACAGAGTTTCTGTCGACAGAATTACCTCAGACGTCTCCAGACTGCCGATGCTGCTCAGCGTCTCGATGGAGCTTTGAAGGGAAGCGATCGCAGCACTGCAGCTCGCAGCAAACGGTTCGATTTTCTGTCAGCGGATAAAAAAAAACTAACTTAAGCACATTATTTGCATTTTAAGTTTATTTTTAAAGTGTATGTAAGTGTGTAAAGTGCAATGTAAGTGTATTTTTTAAGTGTAAGTGTGTAAAGTGTAATTTAAGTGTATTTTTTGTGTATGTAAGTGTGTAAAGTGCAATTTAAGTGTATTTTTTAAGTGTATGTAAGTGTGTAAAGTGTAATTTAAGTTTATTTTTAGTGTATGTAAGTGTGTAAAGTGTAATTTAAGTGTATTTTTAAAGTGTACGTAAGTGTGTAAAGTGTAATTTAAGTGTATTTTTAAAGTGTAAAAATATCTTAATACACACTTAAAGTATACACTTTAAGTGTGTATTAAGTGTGTATTTAAGTGTGTATTTTTAAAGTGTAATATTAAGTGTAATTTTAGTGTATGTAAGTGTGTAAAGTGTAATTTAAGTGTATTTTTAAAGTGTATGTAAGTGTCTAAAGTGTAATTTAAGTGTAATTTTAGTGTATGTAAGTGTGTAAAGTGTAATTTAAGTGTATTTTTAAAGTGTAAGTGTGTAAATGTAATTTTAGTGTAAGTGTGTAAAGTGTAATTTAAGTGTATTTTTAGTGTATGTAAGTGTGTAAAGTGTATTTTAAGTGTATTTTTAAAGTGTATGTAAGTGTGTAAAGTGTAATTTTAGTGTATGTAAGTGTGTAGTGTAATTTAAGTGTATTTTTAAAGTGTATTTAAGTGTGTAAAGTGTAATTTTAGTGTATGTAAGTGTGTAAAGTGTAATTTAAGTGTATTTTTAAAGTGTACATAAGTGTGTAAAGTGTCATTTAAGTGTATTTTTAAAGTGTATGTAAGTGTGTAAATTGTAATTTAAGTGTATTTTTAGTGTATGTAAGTGTGTAAAGTGTAATTGAAGTGTATTTTTAAAGTGTACGTAAGTGTGTAAAGTGTAATTTAAGTGTATTTTTTAAAGTTTACGTAAGTGTGTAAAGTGTAATTTAAGTGTATTTTTAGTGTATGTAAGTGTCTAAAGTGTAATTTAAGTGTATTTTTAAAGTGTAAGTGTGTAAAGTGTAATTTTAGTGTATGTAAGTGTGTAAAGTGTAATTTAAGTGTATTTTTAGTGTATGTAAGTGTGTAAAGTGTATTTGAAGTGTATTTTTAGTGTATGTAAGTGTGTAAAGTGTAATTTTAGTGTAAGTGTGTAAAGTGTAATTTAAGTGTATTTTTTGTGTAAGTGTGTAAAGTGTATTTTAAGTGTATTTTTAAAGTGTAAGTGTGTAAAGTGTAATTTAAGTGTAATTTTAGTGTATGTAAGTGTGTAAAGTGTCATTTAAGTGTATTTTTTAAAGTGTATGTAAGTGTGTAAAGTGTAATTTAAGTGTATTTTAAAGTGAATGTAAGTGTGCAAAGTGTAATTTAAGTGTATTTTTAAAGTGTACGTAAGTGTGTAGTGTAATTTAAGTGTAATTTTAGTGTATGTAAGTGTGTAAAGTGTAATTTAAGTGTAATTGTAGTGTACGTAAGTGTGTAGTGTAATTTAAGTGTATTTTTAAAGTGTTTTTTAAAGTGTAATTTAAGTTCGTTTTTAAAGTGTACGTAAGTGTGTAAAGTGTAATTTAAGTGTAATTTTAGTGTATGTAAGTGTGTAAAGTGTAATTTAAGTGTATTTTTTCAAGTGTATGTAAGTGTGTAAAGTGTCATTTAAGTTTATTTTTAAAGTGTATGTAAGTGTGTAAAGTGTAATTTAAGTGTATTTTTAGTGTATGTGTGTAAAGTGTAATTTAAGTGTATTTTTAAAGTGAATGTAAGTGTGCAAAGTGTCATTTAAGTGTATTTTTAAAGTGTATGTAAGTGTGTAAAGTGTAATTTAAGTGTATTTTTAAAGTGAATGTAAGTGTGTAAAGTGTATTTTTAAAGTGTACGTAAGTGCATAAAGTGTAATGTAAGTGTATTTTTAAAATGAATGTAAGTGTGTAAAGTGTATTTTTAAAGTGTATGTAAGTGTGTAAAGTGTAATTTAAGTGTAATTTTAAAGTTTAATTTAAGTGTATTTTTGAAGTGTATGTAAGTGAATAAAGTGTAATTTAAGTGTATTTTTAAAGTGTATGTAAGTTTTTCTAATATGCATACAGGTTCTCATTTTCTTTCATTACTTTCTTTTTTAAGCTATTGTTATTTATTTTTATTATTCTTTCTGGTTTACACTTTACTGTATATTCTATATTTTTAATGTTAATTTATGTTTGTTCCCCTTCTACCCTGTCATTCTCGTGAGGAGTAAACAAAGTAAGAATTTCATTGTTCATTCACATATGACAATAAAACTCTTGAATCTTGAATCTTTTCTTCCTCACAAATGCAAAAGCTTTAAAGTAGCTCAGGGTTTCCCAAACAGAGCTTTGTGAGTTGATGACAAGCTAATAATTAAATCCTAAAAATATAAAATAAATATCAGGGTTCACATGCTGTAAGACCTTCAACAGCATCGTTAAAAAGATATTAGATATTACTTAGCAAGCATCTGAACACCTAAATTGGGGATGAAATAGACCATTTTAGATAATTTACTAGGGCTGCACGATTAATCTTTTTGATTTATTTACTGACGAGTTGCGCAAAACCACGTTCATATTCGCGCGATTTTTTGCGCAGCTCGTCAGTGAACAACGGCTCTGTGTAGTTAATGCTGCTCAATGTGAAAGCATGCAGGTGATGGAGATTTACCGCTGATTACAGAACCGGCTTTCTGACAAGATGCGCATTAAATATCGCATGCGATTTATCGTGCAGCCCTATAATTTACCATAAAAAATATAGAATTTTTGAGCTTTATAACTGTTACAGTGATACCTAATTATCTTTATAAAAGTTTGCATGCTTCTTTAGGACTATACATCACATGTTCTTTCCTGTTTTGTGAAGTTTTGTTTAGGAATTATAGGCATTTATTTGTTATATTTGGTCATGTCCATATTTTACATTATCATTATAGCCATCCAAATACTAAAGTTCAATTTGTTTTTTTGGATAATTATTGATCTAGGGATCAAAGATTAGCACTACACTGGTTTTGTTGACATTGATGAAAAAACCAGGACTAGTTCGCAAAAGTAGTTTTTTTTTTGGGTCTGTCCAATCAGTTTTAGGGCAGAATAATAATAATAATAATAATAATAATAATATCACAAAATCTAAATAATAATATAATTTGCTTTGTGCTTGAACCCCTAATGTATAAATAAAAAAAAAAAAATTATATATATATATATATATATATATGACAGAACTGGAGAGGATCTGCAAGGAGGAATGGCAGAGGATCCCCAAATCCAGGTGTGAAAAACTTGTTGCATCTTTCCCAAAAAGACTCATGGCTGTATTAGATCAAAAGGGTGCTTCTACTAAATACTGAGCAAAGGGTCTGAATACTTAGGACCATGTGATATTTCAGTTTTTCTTTTTTAATAAATCTGCAAAAATGTCAACGATTCTGTGTTTTTCTGTCAATATGGGGTGCTGTGTGTACATTAATGAGGAAAAAAAATTAACTTAAATGATTTTAGCAAATGGCTGCAATATAACAAAGAATGAAAAATTTAAGGGGGTCTGAATACTTTCCGTACCCACTGTATATACACATACACATACACACACATGTAAATATTTCTAAAATTTATATATGTATGTGTATATATATATATTTATGTATTGTGTGTTGTTAAATGATTGAAAAATCAAATTAAAACCTCAGGGGGGCTTAGAGTGAACATTTCAGGTTAAAGGTTTTCGGCTGATAAAAACGTTCATGAAGCCCTGTTTTGTGCACCTGTCTGAAGTGAATGTAGTGGCTGTGCTCGTATGGGAAGCTGCCGTCAAAGTCTCTGGTGAGCTGCGACGAGTCGATGTGCTTCTGCAGAGCTTTCAGAGACGTCAGGACTTCACACTGTACAAGAACAGAGAGGAGCAGCTCACATAAACACGAACTGACTCAAACTGAGACCTAGAGAACGACAGACAGTCATTTACTCACAGGAACTGAGACGTCTCGCTCCACTTTCACTGCTGCGTCTCTGTCCACCAGAATCAAAACTGAGTAAAGTGCATTGGGTACGAGAGTCTGGCAGGACAGAAGAAATCAGTGGGTGTAAATAAATCAAAAAGTTTCTATTTCAGTCATTTAACAACACATTTGCATGTTTATGGTTCTCTAATGTTGGTTAATGGTCACACGACATGCAGGTAAACCAATAAAATAATATTTTTTGTATTTTGATTATAATTTTTTTTAATTTACATTTTGCATTTTTTTATTTTCATCAACTCATGAACTCATATTGTACAGGCTAACATTACGGAAAAATAAATAAAAAATAAAAATATGGATAATTACAAAGACTAAACATATTAAATCAGGGATTCCCAATTTTTTTGTCAGAATGTTGTCTGAATTCCTTAAATTAATATTTCAATAATTTAACAAAACATTCACATATTCATGGGTCTCTAATGTGGGTTAATGGTGACATGATATGCAGGTAAACATAATATTTATTCTTTTTATTAAGTGTTTTATCCTTAGTGTTTTTATTTTAGTTATGTATTTATTTTAATTAAACATTTTTATGATTTAATTATAAATTTTTAGCAAATATTTTATTTTGATTATTTTTATTTTCAATTATTTATTTTAATTTAGCATTTTTATGATTTAATTATAAATTTTTAGCAAATATTTTATTTTGATTATTTTGATTTTCAATTATTTATTTTAATTTAGCATTTTTATGATTTAATTAATTATTAGTTAGTATTTTATTTTGATTGTTTTTATTTAGAAATCAATTATTTATTTTAATTTAGCATTTTATGATTTAATTAATTTTTAGCAAATATTTTATTTTGATGATTTTTATTTTAAATTATTTTAATTTAGCATTTTTATAATCTAATTAATTATTTGTTAGTATTTTATTTTGATTGATTTTTATTTTTAAAAATTCTTTATTTTAATTTAGCATTTTTAAGATTTAATTAATTTTTTGCGTTTTGCGTTCAGTTTGGGAAACCCTGGTTTAGATCATTTATTGTGCAGACTTAACATTTGGGGGAAAAAATCTAACAAAAACAATTACAACGACTAGAGAGTTTAGATCAGTTATTGCATGTAACAGTGCTAATAAGAACATATTTAAGTGGAGAAACACTCCTTTGTTGTCCCTCTTCTCTCAGTTTTTGCATGCTGGGGCCGATCATTTTCTCCGAGTGTTTTCGAGACATGTTTGCACAGGCCTCGTCTCAAACCCCGAGGACAGACTTTCCTTCAGATATTTGACATGAACCATGCATACGACAGTTAGCATGCTGAAAAGAGCCTCAACTTTACACTCAGAACCCTCTCGACGCGAGTGTGTGAACACAGACGCTTTTCTTACATCACTGCGTCCTAAAGCGTGTCAAAGGTTTGATCGCAGCACAGTAATGCAAGAGCGCGGTTCAGTGCATTGCTGTGGACTTGCAGTGCTTGTGGCTTTAGTGAGCAAATATGTGACGGACAGATCAATGTCTTGCACTTGAGTGAATCCATTCTGATTTTACACACCTGTCAAAGTCTATACCAATTCTTTGCGATTAACTGGAGTGACTAACAACCAAACCAGACATCGATGCCAATAATTCAAACTAAAACTGAAACTAAAATCACAAAAAATAGCTAACATTTTAAAAATAAAAAAGGAAAATATAAAAATAAAAACTGATCCAAAACATTAAAATAATAGATTTATAACAAACTATAATAGTAAAAAAAAACTATATAATAACCAGTGATGCACAATACTCAACGTTTTTGTCAATTTTATTTTATTTTTTTAAACATTTACGTGATTCATGTAATTCATAATTGAATGTAAAGAGACAAGAAGCATTTTGTAGTTGTGTTTTCAACATATTAGTCCGATGAACAAGGATGAACGTGCATATTTTAAAATAAAAATATTTTTATATTTTATAATTATTAGATATTATAATATTTTATATATGATAAATATTTTTAATAAATGTATAATTTGCAATAAAAATTATTTTACTGTTCAACTTTCTTTTTCTTGATTCCCCGAAAGGTCCTCGTGAACTTTACCTTTGGGGTCTTTTAAATCTATAAAACATTGGTCCCTGACATGGGTGTGGCCTTTTGTTTTAAAGACGTGTGAACCGTGTGTCTGGTCTCACCTGAAGCTCAGACAGAGCCGAGAAGAGCGCAGACGCGACCGCTCGCCTGCGGGCGTCAACGAGAACTGTCAAACCCAGGTCTCGCTTCTCCCTCCTGAAAACAAACGTAAGACACTCAGTGAAACGTCTTGCAAAGAACTGCTGTCTCGGATCAGAGCGAGAGCACAGTTTCCATGTCGATTCAGTAAAGCGTGTGAGAGATTCGGGCCGCTTCTCACCGCAGTCTGTGGCAGTAGCAGCAGAGCAGCTGGCTGATCTCGTTTGTGGTGAAGCGCGCGTCTGTCCACACCTGGTTCCTGGTGCACACCTGCAGCACGGCTCTGCCACCGCGGTCCTGGTTACCTGCAGCAGGACGGTGAGATGATGACCTGATTAACCCAACTGAATTCTAAACGTGATTTTAATGATACAATCTGCCACTGCGATTTAAAACATGATTTAAAGGGGTCATATGATGCGATTTCAATTTTTCCTTTCTCTTTGGAGTGTTACAAGCTCTTGGTGCATAAAGAAGATCTGTAAAGTTGCAAAGACTAAAGTCTCAAATCCAAAGAGATATTCTTTATAAAAGTTAAGAGTCAGCCACACCTACCTAAAACGCCTCGTTCTAACAC